GCTGATTTGCACATAGCCTGGAAGTCATGAAATACCTCTTGAGCCGATCAATGTGTTTATGTGTTATCTTGCCAGATAAGTGATACCAAAGGGTTGTGAAGATTGTGTAGTGGTGGCAAGATGTATCTGACTTCGTTCCTTAGAAGGGATGGGAAACCAGAGGAGGCATATATCCTGGCAGGTCAGGGTTGTGTCACACAAGCTGATTATAATATACTAAAATCCATATTTAAATGTTATCTAAACACATCAAGGGGACCTAAACACATCAAGGGGAATGTGTTTATTAAAGGAATTTTGTCTCCAACTATTGAACTAGAAAGGGATATGATATCCCCTTGTGATTGGCCCTTTTGTGTGATATTCATAGAAACTAGCAAATGCTGTTTAGGTAAAGAGATTAAGGGATTCATGATAGGACAACTGGAGGTCAAAATTATCCTTTTTGCAGATGACATTGGGCACAACTCGGCTAACCCAATAAGATTGTTGCAAAGGTTAACAAGATTACCCATCCATGTGAATATACATTCATGCAAAATTATAGCAAAACTCAGTTTATAATTTATTATTTAGGTTCTGAATGTAACTTCCTTTTGGCTAAATGGAGGAATAAAGTATCCAAGTCATACTTGGAGTAGACCCATTGGAATTATTTGGCTTACTTAGTCGTTACTGAGGGTTGTGGCCTCTGCCTTAACTGAATGCCACTGTGGTCTCTATCTAAAACGTTTTTAGACCGACCAATCTTAGTCTTGAGCATAGACTACATTAGCCTAAGTCTTACCATTAATAAAATAAAAGTCTCCCTAGATTCATAGCTGAGAATCTTTTGCAGAGCACAGAAGGCTGTCCATGTGAGAAAGCTACCCAACATGTTTGTAAGAGCTAGGAATCACAGAGTAGTGGGTATATTAATGTTTTAGATGCATAGAAAGCCTTTAATAAATCATAACGTATTCTTTGAATTAAGAGTATTCAGATGTTTGGGTTAAGTAGTTCTTTCAGACTTGGTGTCTCTTGTCTGTTAGATGGCACCTGGCTCTCTGTCTCTATCTCGACCTCTCTGTTCCATCTGAATCAAGAGAGGCAGCTGAGGTGTTAGGCCAGTGCATGGAGGCAGTGATGGGTTGTATGTGGGCCAATAAACTGAAGCTGAATCCTGAAAAAGAAGTGTTATGTATCCCAGGTTCTCGCATCCAGGAAGCAGGGACGTGACCAATCCTAGATGGAGTTGCACTCCCCTGGAAGGAGCAGATTTGCTCCTGGATTTGACACTGTCACTGGAGGCTCAAGTGGTCTCTGTGGTTTGGAGTGCCTTTTTTCAGCTCCAGCTGGTTCACCAGTTACAACCCCTTTTGGACCAAGATTACCATTGTACTCCGTGCTCTTGTAACTTCCGGACTGAATTATTACAATGCACTTGTATGTGGGACTACCTTTGAAGACGACTTGGAAAATGCAGTTGGTCCAAATTTCAGTGGCCAGTTGACTAAGGTTTATTTAAATCTCATACAGCCCATTTTAAAACAGTTGCTCTGGTTGCCAGTTCATTCCTGAGCCCAACTTAAGGTGCTCACATTAGTGTTTAAAGCCTTAAATGACTCAACTCCTTCCCTACAGGCTCTCTTCAGTGCTGAGATAGGCATGGGAGACGTCTTGGTAGTTCCTTCACCTTCAGACACTTGCTCGGGTGGTGGGGGGTGGCCCGGGAGAAGGAATTTTCTGTGGTGGCCCCTAATCTGTGGAACTCCCTCTGCACAGAGGTGTGTCTGGCGCCTTCATTATACAGCTTCCAGAGAATGCTGAAGGTGTACCTCATTACCCTGACTTTTGACACATGATGTGCTTATTTTTTAGGAGCCACCTTATTTTTATTTTTATGATTGGAAGTTGTTTTAAACTGTTTTTAGTACTGTGTTCTAATGTTGTAACCCACACTGAGACCTGGGGTGAAGGGTGGGTCAATTAATCATCATCCTCATCATTAGCTTTGAAACTAGATTATCCAACAAAAGATTATTCTACAAAATAACTTTTAAAAGAGGGAATAAGTACGGATGCCCCTTATTACCAGCAGTGTTTATTCTAGCTATAGAATTATTAGGAATTATACTTACAAAGGACAACCACATGAAAGGCATGTCTACAAATCTTAAGCAGAACAAATCAGCTATTTATGCAGATGACATTGTCCTAATGGTTATTAAGCCAATTAATTATCTAAATAAATTCCTGTAAGTTGCTTTTTTTAAAGTGTAGATCTTTGTCAGACTACACATTAAACAAAGAAAAATCTGAGTGATTAGGATTAAATATTAAACTCACGTTTCAATGTCTGTTGTATAATTGCAGTGATAAAGAAAACAAAATAAATGAATGAGGAATTGTGCTGACTACAAAGATTAAACAAAGTGGCACTGATTATGTAAATAGTTATGCAAATTGTTGTTTTCATAAAAACTGAGTAAATGGATTAAACTGAGTTCATTCCAGAAAAATTTGCAGCTACTGTGGAAGCACCCCGAGTCAGTTATTAAAATACGAGCCCCTTGTAATATACATACAAGAGAACTATTTCATGCCACCGGGACAATTAATGTTGGTATTTAGTTCTAAACTTTTGCAGTGGTTGCATGTTTGCTTTCCCCCCAAGTAAATGCTGTGTTTTTGAAATCCTTAAAGTGGTAGAACTGGAACATGCCAATTTAAGTTTTAAAGATACATTGAACCAATCGTATGATTGATTTATGATGTAGCGTTGCTTGCTGTGTGTGTGTGTGTGTGTGTGTGTGTGTGTGTGTGTAAAAGTGCCATGGGTGCCAGCACGAAATGGCTGCTATAGGCAACAACAACAGCAACAACAAGGTGTCTGTGCACTGACTATGGGCCAATGCAGCATGGCTCTTATCCATGCTATTTCTTTAATATCATAATCTTTGGACCGCATGGGATGAGTTCACTATGTAGCTTCCCATATCAGCATTGCAGCTGTTTCTGAGGAGGGCAACAGACTGGTGAGAGAAGGAACCACATCAGTTCTCCCATGTGATCCAGGACTTTTGGCATGACTCAAATGGCACAGAAAGGAACTGTTGCACAACAGCTCTTAGACTGGACTGTGATTCAGCCTTCCAGAATTAGCTCTAGCTCTTTTCTCTGTAGAAAGAGACAACTGCCATAATTTCCTTAGATAGCCAATGGGGTGCCCTCCAGATGTTATTGGACCCATCAGCCCCAGTCAGCATGGCCAATCATCAGGAATGGTGGGAGTTATAGTCCAACACCACACTGGCTACACCTTGTCTAACTTGTCAGGTTGTACTATGTGCATGTATTGGTGGATGTTTGTTTTATTTATTTTTAATGTGTGGCTCTTGTTATCCAGGGAATGCACAAAGTAGTGGAGCAGGATTATGATGAAAGGACAGTCTGTTTTAAAGTGTATTTTTGTTTTCTATATAATTTAGGGGGGAAATTTCAGACAGAAAAATAGTCTAACTTAGTGCCAGCCTAACTAGAACAATGTGTGCTTTTCAGTATCAGCAATAATCAACAGACTTGTCAGACTATGTGTGCTCCATTCCCCACCATACACACATCTGTCAACTTTAAGAAACTTTCAACAGAGTATCATTACTGTATTGCATTGTATCAATTTATAACACTATCTACTGAAGTTAAACACTGTAATTCAATTACTTAGTCTAATGCATAGTAGCCTACACATATATTTACAGATAGAATTTTTGCACACATGCCATTTTTAAAAATATTGTATACCAAATTGTAATTGAAAAGCAGAGATAGAGTTGTAGTATTTAGTAGTGCATGTCACATTCACTAGTGAAATTGGACACAATTTATTGATGCACTATACTAAAATTTAACCTGTACAATGGGTTTTTCTTTAGTAACAAAGAAGTGGTGTAATGCAGATCATTTATCACAGCACAGCTGCAAAAAAATTGTTTTAGGAATAAGCACCAAAAATTGACAGCACAGTGTAATTCATAGTTGCCTTGCTGGGGCGGGTGTGAATGTGTCAGATATTTTCTCTATAGAATGATCTGCCTTCATAATTAAAGTGCTTCAGTGTTCTGGATAATAATATGTATATCAGATGAGCATTGGCAATAAAAACATACCAAATATGCAACAAATGATGTCGATTAAAATTCCGCCTGATGTTTAGATACCATATGCCACCACCAGACTCTTCTACAATGCACTTCCAGCAGTGACTTGCACTGTGTCAGCTCTGTTTCACAGTTTAGAGTAGTGGCAATATATATTTAGCCCATCCAAATTGTTCCTATTGAAGAAAGGGGCCTGGATAACTGCCCCCCCCCGCCACTATTCCTTCTAGAGCTAGATGAGATTTGTTGGTGCAGAAACAACACTGTTGGATGCACATGCAATGCACACTGGCCCCTATTTTCCACAGCAAGTCCATGTTTAGTCTCTTTCCTCTAGCCTGAAATTCTCAAAGGATGCTATGACTAGAGGGCCACAGCAGCAAATAGTGTGTATGTCAAAAGGAGTGTACTTTGCAAGGAACATTTCTTGCCTTCCTGCTTCAACCCTAACAAGACAAACCAGGAGTTTGGGTTATTTTTTTTATTCTCTATGTATTTTATTACATTCCGTTTGAGTTCTTTTTGTGATTCTCTATCTTCCCTGTTTGCTGCGCTCTCCTCCCTGCTCCTCTGCCCTTCTGACATGGCACATCTCTCTACTGCTGGCCTTTTGGCTTGTTCTGTAGCATTACCTCTCACTACTTTGGATTCTTTCTGGCATTCCTTCCAGCCTACTTTCCAACCAAACTCTCTATTATTAATAGTATCATTATATGCCTCTCCACACATTACTTTTCTGCACCTCAGCATCATGGACAATATTCTGATGAATAGTTACATAGCTGCATTTTCTTGGCAGGTTCTTCAGTCATTCATTATTTTAAAAAATTGTTTGTTTATCAGCTTCCTTTTACTTTTCAGGTTTTAAAAATCAGTTTGCTCGGCCATCGAAAACGCATTTTGGCCTCACTGGGAGACAGGCTTCACGAAGATCCACCTCAGAAACCACCAAGATCTATAACCCTCAGGGTAAGTTCCAGAAAATATGTCTTGTATTCCCTCAAACACATACTGTAAAAGGCCTATAAAATCTTCAAACACAAAGAATGATTATTTAGCAACTACCCATACGAACTGAGATTTATAGCTCTCTTCTTTTTTCACATTTTTATAAGGCTCTCTAATTTGTTTGACCAGCATGGTTTACTTGAGGGATTTTTATTTTATTTTTGTGATTTTGCTTGAGGAAAAAACACACTGTATTTAATAACATCAACCGGTATTCTTGTTCAACTACTTAATGTAATTAATGTTCATGTTTTACTGAATTAGTGTGTCTGTCTGAATTTTCTGCACAAAACAGTCTATAAATTGTTGGATTTGCTTGCTTTTTAATTTCCACGGGTTGTTTTTTTTTTTTTTTTTTTGCATATGATGTTGGGGGGGCAGTATCTCTGGTGGGGGGCACATCGTGCTCCTTCTCGAGTAGTTTGTCCACCTTTGCTCCCCACCCTGCACTCAGCTCTCACCTGTGACTCCTAGAAGCTGACACCCCAGGAAACTTTGGCTGGCTAAACCAGGTGAGAGTAATCTATGGGTCTTAAACCCTCAGTGAGTCAGGTGAGTTAGGCACTTGTCTATCCACTGCATGTAAAGACAGACTCCGGCAGTTTGAGTGGACAAGACCAATAGAGGGTCCAATGCTCAAGAAGGCAGTTTCAGCATGTGCTGTTGAGGGAAATGAGGGGCAGATGGAACTCATCAACCTGGGAAGGTAGCCCATCTAGGAGAAGGAAAACTGATCCTAAACATCTGTTGCCTTGGGACTATACACATTCCTGAGAAAGGTTTTGGAAGTAAACCCTGAGGAATAATCCATACTCACTGAACAAACTCTACTGAATTGCCCCAGAGACAGCATTGAAGCAAGGTGGAACTACATCAAAGAGGCATACTACTACTACTACTACTACTACTACTACTACTAATTTATTATTTATACCACGCCCATCTGGCCGGGTCCCCCCAGCCACTCTGGGTGGCCTCCAACAAAATACTAAAATGCAGTAATCCATCAAACATTAAAGGCTTCCCTAAACAGGGCTGCCTTCAGATGTCTTCTAAAAGTCTGGTAGTTGTTCTCTTTGACATCTGATGGGAGGGTGTTCCACAGGGCGGGTGCCACTACCGAGAAGGCCCTCTGCCTGGTTCCCTGTAACTTGGCTTCTCTCAGTGAGGGAACCGCCAGAAGGCCCTCGGCGCTGGACCTCAGTGTCGAAGTAGAACGATGGGGGTGGAAACGCTCCTTCAAGTATACTGGACCAAGGCCGTTTAGGGGTTTAAAGGTCAGCACCAACACTTTGAATTGTGCTCGGAAACATACTGAGCCAATGTAGGTCCTTCAAGACTGGTGTTATGTGGTCTCGGCAGCCGCTCCCAGTCACCAGTCTAGCTGCCGCATTCTGGATTAGTTGTAGTTTCCAGGTCACCTTCAAAGGTAGCCCTACATAGAGTGCATTGCAGTAGTCCAAGCGAGAGATAACCAGACCATGCACCACAGATAGGGTCTCAGCCTGTGTACCAGATGGAGCTGGTAAGCAGCTGCCCTGGACACAGAATTGACCTGCACCTCCATGGACAACTGCAAGTCCAAAATGACTCCCAGGCTGCACACCTGGTCCTTCAGAGGCACAGTTACCCCATTCGGGATCAGGGAGTCCTCTACACCTGCCCACCTCCTGTTCCCCCAAAACAGTGTTTCTGTCTTGTCAGGATTCAACCTCAATCTGTTAGCTACCATCCATCCTCCAACCACCTACACTCACACAGGACCTTCACCGCCTTCATTGGTTCTGATTTGAAAGAGAGGTAGAGCTGGGTATCATCTGCATATTGATGAACACCCAGCCCAAACCCCCTGATGATCTCTCCCAGCGGCTGCATATAGATGTTGAAAAGCATGGGGGAGAGGACAGAACCCTGAGGCACCCCACAAGTGAGAGCCCAGGGGTCTGAACACTTATCCCCCATCACCACTTTCTGAACACAGCCCAGGAGGAAGGAGAGGAACCACTGTATAACAGGGCCCCCAGCTCCCAGCCCCTCTTGCACTGTAATTGCTAGGAACTGTCTATATTTTAATGGAAATTTGGAGGAATGCAGTTGTAATTTTCATTACTGTCCCTTTTGAGATAGACAAAGGGAGGAGTGCATTGTAAATTGTAAGCAACTATCTTTTTCTCTCACACAGACACCTTACTCAATTCCACTTATGAAAACATTCATATGGACACTCTCACTCTCATTGCTGGCATATCACACCTGGCTTCTGGGAGAGAAACTATAGCTGCTTGAAAGACTGTGTTACTGAAAGTGTCACTGAGCTCATGGTATTTTCCCTTTGGAGAATTTCTCAAATACAGGGCATTTTTAGCTGCTGTTTCCTGGCACAGTGTACTTCAAGAATGCTAAAATATAAATAGGGAGCATGAAGTGGTTGTAGGCTATGATCCAAGCAAAGGACTAGATATTTTTACAGGGCTAGCCTTTGAAGTCCATGTACAAACATTTTGTATTGATACCTCTTCAAAGGGACTTTGAAATGAAGTGAAGGCAGGCACACCTTTACCTGCCTCACACCTGACATCACATATTATTAATAATAATTTATTAGTCACCCTTTACACAACAGTCTCGTGTGTGTGTGTGTGTGTGTGTACATCCAGGGGTCCTTTACCTTACACACACGCATGCGCGCGCACACACCCTTTTTAAAAAAAACAGTTAAAAACTCAAAAACAGCAGGCACATTTAAAACAATAAAAATAGATACTAGTGGCAAAACCCATTTATCAGAGAGATGTATAATTCTGTCAGCAGAGTGCAGAATGGATGAGAGTCAACCAAGGTGAGACAACAGAAGGCCAGAGAGAATAAGCCTGCCATAATCAAGGCAAGATATGGGGATGAACAAGAGTTTTCTTGCCCCTCCTTATCTCTCCATGCTTATGTCCTGCCACACTCCTTCCTGTCACTTGTCCAGCTCTTCTACCCTGAGCTGTCCAAAGGTCTCCTGCCATCTGAAATAATTCCAGCCATTTCCCCTTCCTGCCCCTCATGCCTGGAACTGCCTCCCCAAATGGTTCTGTGTGACTACCTTCCTTAAAGCCTGTAAGTCCCCCCTCAAAATTCAGCATTTCCAGGATCATTTCTATGCCTTAACGTAACGAAACCAAATATTTATATTCTTCCATTGCCCCCATTGCCCCAAATTTGTTCTTTTTCTCTATTTTAGAGTGTGATCTATTGATGTAGGAACTTGTCATACCTTATACCTGTAAAGCACCATATACATAGATGCTATATATTATATATATATGTCCAGCACTTGAAACACTGTGTTACTAGCTCTTGTAGCTGCAGTTCATACACTTTTAGTTTCAGTGCAGGAAAGTCTGTTTATTTCATGCTGTTACTTTCTCTAATTATGTGCAGGAACCCAGCGGTAACCACACTCCTCCTCAGTTGTCTCCCTCACTCAGCCAAAGCACTTACACTACTGGTGGCTCCCTGGACGTTCCACACATTATCATGCAGGGGGATGCAAGGAGGAGAAGAAATGACAGCTATTTTGATGATATTCCTCGGTCAAAACTGGAGAGACAGATGGCACAGGTAATGTTGGAAAACCTTTCCTGTTAAAATTTAATATAATTAGGGTTGAGTGTTCACTTCTTTAAAATTTGAGAAGATGTACCTTTAAAAATGGAAGGGACGCGGGTGGTGCTGTGGGTAAAAGCCTCAGCGCCTAGGGCTTGCCGATCGAAAGGTCGGCGGTTCGAATCCCCGCAGCGGGGTGCGCTCCCGTTGTTCGGTCCCAGCGCCTGCCAACCTAGCAGTTCGAAAGCACCCCCGGGTGCAAGTTGATAAATAGGGACCGCTTACTGGCGGGAAGGTAAACGGCGTTTCCGTGTGCTGCGCTGGCTCGCCAGATGCAGCTTTGTCATGCTGGCCACGTGACCCGGAAGTGTCTCCGGACAGCGCTGGCCCCCGGCCTCTTGAGTGAGATGGGCGCACAACCCTAGAGTCTGGCAAGACTGGCCCGTACGGGCAGGGGTACCTTTACCTTTTACCTTTAAAAATAAGAGTATATCTTTTTGTGAATGTTAGTATGTTTTGGAACCATCAACTAAATTGGTTTGCATTTATTTTGTAACTCTTTTATCCTGCTCTATAAACACACATTTTAAAATCTATGCTCTAGAGAGACTTTATATTCTGTAAACTAGTTTATTTGTATGCTAACAGGCCTGGGAGATATGAATAGCATTGAGATGTGAAATCGAAATATTCTGTTTGTGTTTGAAGAAGATAAGGTTTTAATGACTGATTTTTTTTTGTCTCCTAAGAGCGAATGATACCAGCAAGATGCCTTATTGCTAGGATTTGGTTGTAGAAACAATGTTGAACGCATTACTTTTTTTAAATGAAAGGCAGCTAAAGTCGAATTCCTTAGCAGCAACATTTTTTATAGATCTTCCAGGGTGTATTCTCACAATTAAGTGGAATTAAGTGTTAAGTGGAATCATATTGCTACATTCAAAATAGTTTTGGCTGACTGTAGAATGAGTTCATTTTGCTCTGTGTAACTCTGAAGTGAGTTGTGGAATCATGAATTGATGTCACGGTACATTCTGCACATACATAGGGCAGCCTAGGAGTGTCCTGTTTGAGCATGCTTTGATACCAAGTATATGGCAATATCCCTGTCCCCTTGCTGAGGCAGAGACCTTCAAGCATGGGAAGTCTGAGAGTACAGCTGGGAACAACCTGGGATGCTCTAGGTACACTTCTTACATATTTTTTGAAAAAAATCTGGAACTTACCAAAAAGCAACAGATCCAGTCTGGAAATATTTCCCTGCAACTGAAAGCTATTGGGTGCATTCATTTATTGCAGAATCTAACCCATCCTTAGGATTTTTTAAATTAAGGTGTCTTGATGGAAACCTGACTGAGAATCTTGTTCAGCAAATGGTTTAAGTAAGGCATTAAGAATTTAATAGTTCAACACAAATTTAGCAAGCTTCAGTCAGGCCTATGTAACTGATGCCTTAGCATCCATTATAAACCAAGGGCAAAAGCCACCTCGTAGTTGAGTGGATGCTAATGTACTTATGATACCTAGTTTTAGTAGTTAGTATTGCCCTTCAGTAATTTCATTCCATGCTTATTAAGGAATTTCTGAAAGTTGCTTGTTTATTATCTCTGAAAATCACTCTCATCAATAATGGCCCATTTCTTATTTTTGGCCCCACAAGGGATAATTCTATGTAAGCTGCAAATGAAGCCACTTTGTCTTCCCATCTAATTATGGATATTCTTTCTTATTCAGATTTTGACAGAAATACATTTCATAGCTTTTTGACAGAAATTGGATGCTGTGTGCTCACATTTGGTTTTGATTTTTGCTGACATTATAGCAATTCAAGGGATTTGCTGAAGCTGTTATTTTTACAATTAGATTCCAGTCATTCTTAAAAGGGCTTTTGAGTACAGTGGTACCTCGGGTTACAAACACCTCGGGTTACAAACACTTCAGGTTACAAACTCCACTAACCTGGAAGTAGTACCTTGGGTTAAGAACTTTGCCCCAGGTTGAGAACGGAAATCGCGCAGCGGCGGCATGGCAACCCCATTAGCTAAAGTGGTACCTTAGATTAAGATCAGTTTCAGGTTAAGAACGGACCCCTGGATCAAATTGAGTTTGTAACCCGAGGTACCACTGTATTGTATATTTAGATATTTTATGTTGGGGCTGTTGAAATATTTCCTGTCTTTACTTAATGAACACCATAATAATGCTGCAGACATTACACTAAACCAGAAGTGACTAACCTATGGCCTTTGGTGTATAACTCCCATCACCGTGACCATGGAGCATGCTGGTTGGGGCTGATGGAAACTGGAGTCCAATAGAATCTGAAGGCCACGATTATGTCCCACCACCACAACCACTTTCAGCACCCTTTAAAAATGGAATGCCAATTACCCTCAATACATTCTACCACAAATGAATAATCCACTGTCTACCTTAAACATAGCATATGCTTGACCAAAAAGATATGCCATATTTCATTGTAAAGGTCAGCATAGTTGAACTTCTATCAGTGAAAGTGCTGTGGGTGATATGTGCTGTTCTTTGATGGTGCACAGGACTTAAGGCCAGATCATAAACCATGTTGTAATGCATCACTGTACGCATCAGAGACCAAACTCTGAATTGCACCCAAAACAGATGGAAGGCCAGTTGAGTTCATGAAGCATGTTAGTGACATGAAAGTTTCACTCCACTGAGCAGGCATTCTGCCCTGATAGAGCCATCCAAGTGCCTGGCAAAGCCATAAGTACAAATTGATTATTTCAGCAGTTCAACCTGGACGGGGGGGATGTTTAATGCCCATATTGCAATCTTTTAAAAATCTAACAGCAACATAAAAAGGAAAACTGTGGTTCCCTCTTGAAAAATCCAAGGGCAGCTGATAAGTTCTATTTGCTCAGTTGAACATTTAAATACAAATGTTAATATGTGGTTTTAAACAGCTGAATTAGGTTTTCTGCTAACCTATTATTGGAAGGAATTGGGGAGTCCTCCTTGGTATGCAAGATAGCTTTGATAAAGAAGAGCAGAGTAATAAAACACCACTTACTATAAAAGAACTCTGCAGGTCACAAAGATTGAATGTTGGAATAGGCAATGCCAGATTTATTGTCACTGAGTAGCTTGATATATGCACATCGTGTCACTGAGTATCATCCTTCACTGTTGCCACTTCTAGTCCCTTATACCCTCTTCAAGCCCTTCTCTCATTTCTGCATATTTGAAAATATAATACTCCCCAAAGGTATATAATATTTCCTTTCTAGAAGTTGTCTCAATTTCATTCTTGAATTATCTCTCTCATACATGACATGATAAACATGCAAGGATGAAACTGAAGTTATAATTCCATAATATACTCAGCCTACTTCCTTCAAAGCAGTTCCACTGATTTTGTCCATAAAATGCATGTGACAGCCCATTAACATTTCTTTAGAAGTCTGGTGGGCTTCCATTTACATTTGTATTTAATATGTGATCTCTTTATAATTATGCAAATTCACTTCCTCTGTTCTGACCCTTCCTGTAGGCATGCCTATTGACCCAGGCTGTGTATACACTCCTGTTTAATCTGCATCCAGTGTATTCCCATTGCTGGCTTGGGAAGTAGTGTACACATCTTAGCCACAATCCATATCTATCCTGACGTTTCTTGGAAATACTGTATTTTGATATGTCCCACCCCCCAAAAAAGTAGCTTTGATCCCTGTTGAGAAAAAGAATGACCTAGCTGTGATTTAAGTCAGTAATGTGTACAGAGCCCCAAACTCTGGTAACATTTTCATGCCCACTGACTTCTAAGTGGGAAAATCTGGACAAATTTGATGTGTCTAACTCTGCTTGTAGTATTTTTTGAGCTGATTTCCTACTCTATACAATCTGGACTCATATTTTCAACCTCTGATTGTGAAATTGTTTATACTCTTTTTTCATACCTGCTTTTCCAAGGGAGGGTACTTGACCAAAGACATTTGACATATCAGCCACCCGTTCTATATTCATTCTGAAGATGAAAGGCTGTTAAGGTTGAGAAGGTTATAGTGACATTATTAGCAAAAAAGGAAGTGGTTAGTCAGCAGAAGTTTTCATTTCACTGTGCATGTTTGGCACATTAGAACTGAAATCGCTAGGATAAATCCTGCTTTGAGAGATGAGCACCAAGACTGACTTCTTTAAAAGATTAGACAGGGCGGAAAAAACCCCACAGTAACTGACAGCAGGAACCTGAAGCAATTGCCCCCGAAAAAAGCACAACTTTTGTTCAGCTAGATGGAAATTAATTTGAAAGCAGTTTGCAATAGTTTTAGGGCTGTCTGCATGTACCAGCTCATCTCAACCTTAGGGCAAACTTGTTCAAATAGAGAATTCCATCTTGGTGAATGAAGTGTGAGGAAGAAACTAGATTCAGGCAAATGTAGCCATCTTTCTGTTCTTTTTTCATCACATACAATGATGTGTTGTGAGTCTTGAAATGACTGGAGCAGCCACAGGCCTTTCATATCATGGATGTGAACATTTGGGCCCAAGAAAGATGTAGTCTAGTATCCTTAAAAGACACTTTTTATAACCAGAGTGCATCTTACAGGAGTGAGTTTTACTCAGAGTCGACCCACTGAAATGAATGGGCCTAACATGGTTATGTTCATTAATTTCATTGAGTCTAAATTTGGTTGAATACTACACTATGTATTTGCCTCTTGAAGGTGTCAGGATACAGGCATGGGTGTTATACACTATACTAAAATGCACAAGAATAATGATGTGATTTTTTTGTTTCATTGCTTTAGCAGTCTAGAAAGGAAGGCTTCTTTGTAATTTACAGGATCCTTTATTTTAATGGCTATCTAAGTTGTCAGTTTGAACCTCAGAAGATCACATCCTTCCATAAAAACAAACTGAAGCAGCAGCTGATAGTGGAGAAAATTTCCTTAAAGTTTATTTGTTTGGGGTTTCCTCTCTATCGCATGGGGATGGAACACAACTGACACAATCTGACAATAACCTTATTATTGTTTGGCATGGAATGCTACTCTTTTTAAATACTTGCTGATACTTGCTGGGATAGTTCCATAGCATTTATATACCATTTCCTCACATAAATGGATTCTTCAGACTCCTGTAAAACATTGAGATTCACCAGGATAGATTTGATGATCTGTCATACTATAGTGTTCAAAGACTTCTAGAAGCCTCAGCACCCAGCTCCAGTTCATCAGATTCTCACAGCTCTGTTACACTCAGGTTGCAAGTGAAATGGAGCTGGAAACCAAAACAAATTCCCAGATGACAAGAGTTATTAATATTAGTATTACAGTGGTACCTCGTGTTGCATACTTAATCCGTTCTGGAGGTCCGTTCGTAACAGGAAACTGCTCGTAACATGAGGTGCGCTTTCGTTAATGGCGCCTCCACTGCTGCTGCACCACTGGAGCGCAACTTCCGCTCGCATCCCTGGGCAAAGGTCTCAACAAGGGGCATCTACTTCCGGGTTAGCGGAATGCGTAACCCGCAACATTCATAAGGGAGACGGTACGTAACACGAGGTACCACTGTATTAGTAATATTTGGTCTACTCTTCTCTGTGATAGCTTTTCAGCATAATGAACCATTTACTTCAATTATTTATATGTGTTTTCAGGATGAATTACACCCAATTATCACTTCATCTTTTAAGAACTGCAGCAGGTTAACACTAGGTGTCTGCTGCTTCCCAGATGAAGAAGTGCTACTTCTCTTTATGCCTTCATGGGAGCTTGCAAAGAGAAATTGACCATCTCCCCTGTGGGGAAATGCAGGAGTTGTCACTATATATAAAGTTTGTGCCTCACGCTGCGGAGGAGTTGTGAGGGCCATAACAGAATGGTGATGAATTTGTCAATATATTAAACATACCAATTTTTCCTTTAGTATCAAAATAACAGCTATAGAGTGCCTAACCTGGATCAGGACCTGGGAACATGGGGAGGGAGTTAACTCTTTCTCCCACACCACAGCCTCAATGAAAATAGCACATACCGCTATTTGTCTGTGAGGCAAAAGCTCCATTGGCTCCAAATGAAGTTTTCCTCCCAGGCAAATTGCTGCAGGGGAGCAGGCACATTTTCACTGGGATAACAGCAAAAGGGCTAAACAGTACTCCCTGCCTGTCACAGCTCCAATCCTGCTTTCCTGCCATATTTTGACAGGAAAAACAAGCCAAATACAAATGTATTCATGGAACTGCTATGCAAGGCCACCTCAACGCATGTTCATTTAAACTGCCCCAAGTTGCAGAAAGGACAAGCGACCTTTATATTAAAACCATTTTCATTCATACAGTTTGCATTTTCTGCCATGCCATTTCTCTGTTTCCTGTCCATTGAAACATTAACAGACATGGAGCTAGTTAATGAGTAAAATAAGCCTGAGGCATTAATGTAGTCAGAATAAATTATCTTCATAACTCTGCTAGGTCTTTAGGAATGCTTCAAATATATTCGTTTGTTTTTTAAAAGAGATAACTACTGACTTCTGTAGGTAACTTTTTGAAAGGCAGATGAATCCTTTGGCAGGAGGATACTCTGAGGCATGCAAAGTCCATTTTCTTTGTGCCAACACAGCTGCCTGGGCTCCTCTCTGTGCATGTGTTGCATAAGCACATCTGGACTGATAGAAGAAGAGAGCATGGCCTTTTAGGTAGAAAATAGTAGTGGCAAGAAAGCACAGTTCCGTTCCTTTATGTGTGTTCCTTAGTACCTTGGCTCAAATGATTTCCATTTTGTTTTGCCCATAAATGACAGCTAAGCAGAGGCCTAGGCATAGTAGGCAAAGTAAGCTGCTGTGTATAAGGGCTGTTCTCCATTACCATGGATGAACAAAACAATGATTCCCATCCTGTATTCAGTAAGCATGGGACCTCTGGAATGTGCTAACATGCTACCTTCACCCAATTCCAATCTACAATTTACAAGCACTTTTGCTTAGTTCTTCAGCACTCCTTCTAGTCCAGGCTGAAGCTATACTGCACAGCTTTGACACCCAACTCATCCCACAACCATTCCTTTCTCCCTTCACAAAGTCTCATAGCTATCTAGTTAATCAGCTTTAGTACCTCACAACAGTGTTCCTCTACCCAGACCAAAGGAACTCAACATTAGCTATGCTGGACTTCTTTACATTCTGGCCAGTGTGCTAGCAGGACCACCCTCCAGTAGACTGATATCAGTAGACTGTCCTCCAGTGGAATGGGGTCGGATTGCCTCTAGCACACCATCTAATTCTCCAAAGTATGTACATACTCCAAAGTACGTCTGCAGTAGTCTATTTTTAACCTTTGTCCAATTTGCAGCTCAGGTAATTCTTGACATTGTTGCTAATACTTTGTGCAAAACCTACTGAGGAAGCAACCACCACATGGTCTGACATCCTTCAAATGGGTTAACACATACATGATTTCAGTTTCAGTAGCCAAAGTACTAGTATTCAATTACTATTGATCTGATGTAGACAGGAAGCGCAATGCAACTGGTTGTGACAGTGTGCTGCCACAGTGGATACCATACCCCCTCATCATCACTTATTTGCTATAGTGTGGGTTTCTAGGATTGAATTGTAGGAACACTTTCTGGTCAGTTTAGAGAAAGGCAGCCTCTACTACCAGTCCTTTGAATTTCAGCAGTGACACAGCTTGTCAGTCAGTGTGAGGCATCCATATTTCACTAAGGGAAACATGAGCACAATCGTGATTTTCTTGCAGGAAGCTGTTTCTGTTTGAATGCAGGCTTTATTTAGACACTGATATTAAATTCCTGCTGCTTGTCTTAACTGCTGGCTATGCTCTGCATACTGTGGTTAAGCTATTGATGTTTTAATTGCTAGCTACTCCAGAGATTGTAGTTGCATTTCTCAGCTGTTTAAAGCCTTTCATTGTTGCATTCTCAGGAGACTCTGGGTAGCTACTCTATTTGGTGCTTATTTTAGTTGCTTGGCTACTATGAGCTATTATATTGGATTTGCTTGTGGTGTCCAAATAAGGAAATATATACGACGTTCTGCTATCAGATGATATGAATCTGATTTTCTTTTCCTTTTTCTGTATTGTTGTAATGTGCATCTTGCTTTCTCTTCAAACACACCATGTGTTTAGCATCCTGCATTCCATATGACGGTTGGAATGAGATAGTGTGTTGTTACTCCATTTTACAGCTATGAATTTGTTCTTTTCTAATTGCATTTTAAAGGTATTGGTCCAATCTACTGAGCTCTGCTATCTCTCTTTCTGGCTTACCGCATGGAAATGTTTGGAGACTGTGCATCATGCAGCCTTGGTTGACTGTAGCTAGTATCTTTCAAATAATTAAGGCCTTTCAAATACCTTTACAATGTTATCCACAAATACCACTGACGTTAGTTGTTATTGCTCTGCAGCAGCACATTTGATTATGCTCAGTATTTGTTTGTTTTAGCCTCTTTCTCCCCAAAGTAAATCTCCATTGCAAAACCCTTTTCAGCTGTAGAATGCAAATCAAAGGCTAAGATATGATTGAACACTTTCCCCCTTTCTGCTATTAAGTTCTATTTCATAATCATATAATTGTTTTATTATCCTGAATAGGTCCAAAACTCAATCTGAAGTCCTTGAGCTGTGTTTTCTTTCTATAAGCCCAAAATATGTTTTGTCAGCAAATATGTTAGAGGGCTTTAACAGCTGCTGCCAATTTGAAACGCTCTCTTCTTTTATACAAAATCTTGCAATTGTGTTCATGCCCCCACCTGCAATACTTTTTCTTTCTGGGCTTGGGGTGTTGGTGGTGCTTTACTATTTACAAGATGAGATATAGTTTTCTGTTTATATTAGCAGTCTTCTGTCTGTGAAATTTGGACCAGCCAGAATGCAGGATATCCTTACACAGCAGTCCATCAGGTTCATAATGTAAGATACTTCAATAAATTGTCACTGTATTGGTGTTCATTGTGTTGCCTTGGTGTTGTTAATACTTTATACAGGTGCCATGCTTTTCAGACTTCAAAAAGCAATGTGTAGCATCCAATTATTTCCAGGATTGTACGTATGTGTTTTTACATTTTGTTTTCATAGTGTGCAATAAACTTGTTGGCTTTTGTGTAGCAGGATACAATTTTTTCAGCGCCAAAGGTCAGATTTTAAAATAGAAGTGACCTCATCTATAGTTTCAACTTCTGCTCTGGGTGCTTTGTCTTTGTTAGCCTTCAAAGACAAGAATGGGAGTAAATTGCATACATTCTGCAATTTTACTCGGTTTTGTGCCTTCTGTTTTCAGTGACCAGGAAGGATCCTTCTAGTTTCTTGGGGCTGCTTCTCCCTTTTTAAAAGATGTACTAGCTCATCATTTCAATGTGTTCTTCATGAATGGTATCTTGTAGCATGTCTAAACAATCTGCACTTCTTTTAGATACAGGAAGTCCCTTGAAGCAATGTGCTCATATCATAAACTGTATCTTGAATATCAGCCTTATGACTGTCTTAATGTGCTACTTCAGTGCATGTTATACATGCTATTCCTTCCTAGGGCATGTGCAGAGCAGACAATTTCTCCATCATTTATATTGTGTCAGAATTAAAAAAACTATTGTCAGAGTTCACCTTTGCTGCAAAAGGGAGAAAAATGCCTAGAACCAGGGGACCAGAAATGCTGTAAGAACTGCAGCAGTATCTGCACCTTCCACCCACTTTATGTGCTGTCAGTTCTGACAGTTCTATTATTACTAATAGTATAATACTTGTTATATAATATTTAATAGTATGTACAACTAAGAGCAGGGACGCGGGTGGCGCTGTGGGTAAAAGCCTCAGCGCCTAGGGCTTGCCGATCGAAAGGTCGGCGGTTCGAATCCCCACGGCGGGGTGCGCTCCCGTTGCTCGGTCCCAGCGCCTGCCAACCTAGCAGTTCAAAAGCACCCCCGGGTGCAAGTAGATAAATAGGGACCGCTTACTGGCGGGAAGGTAAACGGCGTTTCCGTGTGCTGCGCTGGCTCGCCAGATGCAGCTTTGTCACGCTGGCCACGTGACCCGGAAGTGTCTCCAGACAGCGCTGGCCCCCGGCCTCTTAAGTGAGATGGGCGCACAACCCTAGAGTCTGTCAAGACTGGCCCGTACGGGCAGGGGTACCTTTACCTTTACCTTTTTACAACTAAGAGCATTTTGGTATTTTGCTACTTAGTTGTGAGGCATGAGGAATGCCATCTGAACTGATTCCTATGCCTGCATCTTCCCAGCTATTAGAGGGAGGCAGAAGAAGGTCACAGGTCCTTTAAGGAACCCAGCAGAAATACTTAAATATGTTGATAACAACAGATTAATTTGAATTATGAGTTTTTTCACAAACCAATAAAACAAATAAAGGAACAACTTGAAGCTTAAATGACCCATTGAGAAACAAATGGCAATTGCACATATACATACATGTAAGAGCATGTGTGCAATCAGTGGTTCTTTTTAAAATTAATGATACATTAAAATGCATTTTCAACAATGGCAGAATGGTGCAATAACAGGAGCTTCACCTGTTTAATTTCTGTGTGCCACTATTAATATTTACAGTGAGAATGATCTACCAAATGTAAGCACTTCTGCAGCTCACTAATTTTAATTATTTAGTTAAGGTTTGTACAGTCGTACCTTGGTTTTCGAACAGAATGCATTCTGGGAGTCCATTTGACTCCTGGAACCATTCAAAAACCAAAGTGTGGCTTCTGATTGGCTGCAGGAGCATCCTGCAGCCAATGAGAAGCTACAGAAGTTGCACCGGATGTTCGGCTTCCAAAACTCACTTTTTCCCAACACTCACTTCCAGGTTTCAGTCGTTCGAGAGCCAATTTTTTGGGGAGCCAAGGAGTTCGGCTTTCAAGGTGCCACTGTACTTAAATACCCCCAATTAAATAACTGGGACATAAAAGTTCTCCCATAACATAGATTTGGAAGACAATACTTATGTGGTAGACATATGTTTGCCTGCAATTAGCTTTCTGCACTTACTTATACTTACGTCTCAGTTTAATTTTGTTTAGATTCCATAGCTGCAGCCTCTGCCACCAAAATCATAAATTTACCTGTTTAGTTTAAAGGCACTATGGTTTTTGTAAGACCTTGATCCAGACTGCTGAATATTTTCTCATTTCAGCTGTAGGTTCCACTTTTTAGCTATTGGACTGAGAACAGCTAGTCTGGACATTTTTTGTAAATTCTGAAAAGTATAAAATCTGTAAAACTGTGAAATTAAAGGGTTCCATGTTCATTTGTAACAATGTATCCTAGAGTTGAGAAGTATGAATTTACATTGGGAACGAGAACACAAAGGGCTCTGGATCATGGACATTGTTTGACAGTGGGGCATATATAGGAAGATTCTAGACCACCTCTGTTTTTGGCATTTGTTACTGTTCTACATCCTAAAGTTTTTATACTCAGAATAAATCTTCATACAAAAGCAAATACTTATTTTGCTAAAACGTACTGTCCAGAGCTTTAAAACAAGCAGATACCAAGCATTCTGTCATCTTAACAATAGTCTTGACAATTTGAGCGTTCGGATGGAATAAAGTGTAATCTCAGAGCATAATCACATTTCTTTGAATGATATTAATAAGATTACTTAAATAAATGGAAAATAAAACTGCAAGCCTTTAAGATTTTTTTGTCCACTAAACTGAATTGCCATATCCAGTGATAATTCCACAAGGTCACAATGTAGTCAAAGTGAAATACCTGTTAGTGCAGCAGATTAAGTGATAGAGCTAAATATATTCCTAAAAGATGTTTCGCAGGATTATGCCCAGCATTTGAGGATGGTAAAATCAAAGGCTGACTCTTATTTTTGCAGCACACGTTTGCTATATATAACTGGTATTTGTGATATTGAATACTGTAAAGTGTGAAGAAGAAAATTGCAGTAAAAATGCAGTGAGCATAGGCAAGAAAATTGTGGCCGATGTCAGTGCCTGAATACATATCCACTGTATGCCCTTGGGTGTTTGAAAAGCCCTTCCATATTTCACCAACGGAATGCCATTATACATGTGGCAAAGAGGCACTGCATAAATTTTGAATGGGCTCAAAGGCAGATAATTTATCCTTATAGAGCCTCCATGTTTAAAAACTATGAATGTCTAATGTTGATATTAGCAACTGCAAAATGTTAATCCATGTGACATGGTTTAAACATTCTAAAGTGCTATATAAAGCTAAGTATTAACTGTTATTTTATTATTGTCTACACAACAGACATTTCACAGTTTCAGCATTTTCCAGCATCAAGAAATAGTGATTAGATAAAGCGCTACTTGCTGGAAATGTAGTGTATCTGCCAAGTCTACCCAGACGCCTCCTCCCTCCCACAAAAAAACCAAAACGAAACTCAGAAAAGCACAGGAGTTAATAGTTGATTGCAAGATGCCAATTTATATATCTCTGAAGCACTTTTAAAGGAAAGTACCACATCTGCAATTACATTACTATTAGTTTTCAATGAGGCAGTGATATTGGCACAAAGTTGTTTCTGCTTGTTTTGTCTTCTGCTTCAGTTTTCACATTGGAAGGTTACTATTAATTTTGATGTCTTCCAGTTTACCTTGTGCTTGTCCTTGTAGATCTGTACAAACCAACCTCTGTCTTGTCATGATTGTGTGGCCCATGAAAATGGATGTATAATGCTTGTTTTGTTTGCTCTGTCCTGGTTTACGAAATGAAACGACATTTTCTTTCATTGGAATTTTCTCATTTGCTTTCAACAGTAATTACATGTTTCAGTTGCTTTGATTTAATCTTGGGATGGAGCCAGAGAAAAGGCTACAGAAGGGAGCTGGCAGAAGCTGGTTTTTTCTGCCCTCTACCCTGCCCAAGCAGTCTCCTGAGTAACAGGGATTCTGCCAAATGGGATGAATTGTGGCACAGAGGACTAAGGAGGAATCCCCCATAAGTTGTCAGAGCATATTCTGTGAGCAGAGCTCCCACTCACAGAAGGCAACTTGCCCCCATTCACCCCACCACATTCACTCCCCTGATCCTCATGAGAAGCTGGGTGGGGCTGCCAGGGGGAGGAGGAGGAGCAGAAAACCAGATTCTGCTTCCTTCCTTCTGCAGGCCTTTTCCTGGATCCAACCTCTTATTTCTCAAGTTTGTTTAAAATTGTTAGTAAGCTTTTAACAAATAGTTGCCGATTTGATCTCAACGGAGTTGAAAAACAGTGAGTAGAAAGAGTATATTAAACTGGGACAAAAAGGCTCAGAAGTCGGAGATAAGCAAATTGTAAGATTTGTTGCAATACATATAGATTTAGAAAGTACTTTGCAAATGTAACCATTTTGTTAAATCAGTTTAAATATTTGCTTTTTTATCTGTAAGAAAATTAATTAAAATCAAGCATCCTTGGTGGTAGTTGAGTTAAGAAACATATTCAGATTCTCAACATTTCCACAAAATAAGACTGCAGTCGTATATACACTTAAATGGGAGGACGCCTCATTGAATTCAGTGGGACTTGCTTCTAAGGAGGCTTTCATAGGATTACAGAACAAGTCCCAATGATTACAGTTGGGCTTTCTCATAAGCAAGTGGGCACAGGCACAGGTTGCAATCATGTGCAAACCTACTGGACAAAGTGGATTTGAGTATGGGTCTCGTTGCATTACAATCCTATAGGTGCTTGAAATCATGAGGCTTACTTCCAAACACTCACATATATGGGCAAGCTGTTAGTTTCTTATGCACAAGGATAACAATGGTGTATAAGTAGCAGCAGCATTTAAATAATGTCTGCCTATTTTTGACATTGCTCCTTGCTAGACAACTCAGATTGGAGGCTGTAGTGAAGTAATAAATGCTGACTACATGGGCATTCATAAAGTTATTTTTATTCTTCAGAATGGCACATTCTGTAAATAATAATATGTAGCCAAAATGCCATGGTTGCAACCACAGTGAAATATGCTAATTGCCTTCAGTTTACATTGCTTTTTGAATACATCTGATTTTCAGACTGGAGACTGGGGTGAACCATCAATTACCTTACGACCTCCTAATGAGGCAACAGCATCAACACCGGTACAATACTGGCAACATCATCCAGAGAAACTAATCTTCCAGTCATGCGATTACAAAGCATTTGTAAGTTTGCCAAACTCAATGTTTTCTTTGAGAATAGTTGGAAATTGTCCAGTTTAAGGAGTGACCATTAACATTTTGGTAGTCTTTTTCTCTACCTAGCACAACTATAACGTCTTTCTTACAGAAACAAAAATGATACAAATAATTTTTTTTACATTATTGTGAACAGAATACAGAATGAATTTGTAGCTTTATCTTTAAATCTGTGTTTCAGCCCCTGCTCTTTATTAAAGAAACATCCAAATTTTTATGCCATTGACATCCAAAGTCTCATAAATATATAAAAAGGTGGTGGTAGGGAGAGAACTGAAGGGGAACCCAGATGCATTGTTTTCAAGGTTTCTGAGTATGACCATGAAGACAACCATAGCTTTCCACCCATGCTTGTCCCCAGAATCAGGTACTGTACTCAGAACTGCACCACAGCCTGTGTACATGGATATTGAATTTAGCTCCCATATTGATAGACTAATCCTCCATTAATTTGCCCGATTCCTTTTAAAATCTCTCTAAGCTAGTGACCATTACCACATCTTGTGGTACTACTGCCTTCTATAAAATTCTTGCTGTGTGAAGTACTTCATTTTGTTCACATGCTGATTCCAGCACATTGGAAGCAAACACTTCAATCGCTGTTTTAAAAGTGGTGCTATTAAAAATTACTAGTCCTTGGTTTTATCAAAAGCCTTGAAGAATCTGTCAAATCTACTACTCACTTAATAGAAAGAAATTAGGCTCTAATAAGACTTAATCTTTTTTTTAAAAAAAAACCCCTAAAAAACCACCCTTTTACATCTTGAGCAGCAGTGTGCTACACATGTTATTTTTTAAAAAGGAAAAAAGCTTCACAGCTTTAATTCAACTGTACTGAGACGATTTAGGCTTTTTTTGCAGAATTATAATACTGGACTTTATGATCCTGGACAGAATTTCCTGGTAACACACAATAGTGAACTAAATAAAATGTTATATACCAAGATGAATGTATACCACTGAGCAATAATGTGGTGGTGGAAATTTCATGAAAGGATCCACCGTTTCTTTGGCACCACTAGCCTACTCCAGCCAGAGTAGAAGGTAGCAGTAGTGGCATCTTTCTCATTTTTCTATATGTGTCCATCCCCCTTTTATCCCATTGACATCAGTGAAGGAAGAATGACTACACCTGCTCTAGGACTAGTATAGATTTTTTGTGCTTTTCAGGGGAATGAGGGAATACAAGGCCTCCTGCAGTCTACATCCAATATGCCCCCTTCATGTCCTGCCACTGGCACTGCATCTACACCCACTGAACATGCCAGGGGCTCCTTCAGGGTCATAAAAGTGCCCCAGAGACAGAACTCCTCCACTGGTGGATTGGCACATGTGCCCTCAGCTGCCCTTTGGCCAACATTAGAATTGCAACCTAAGTAACTTTACATCACATGTGCACCCTGCATGGTCCTGTAACTGCACAGTAGTGTGACTTTTTATTTTCTATTTGTATATGGACAGCTGGTATAGACATAGATTTTAAGAGTAAATCCTTGGTTTTGTTTTTGATGACTTCTCCCCATGAATATGACATCTGTAGGTGTTCCTCTATTTTAAAGGTGGAAAATGTAGAAGCTCAGGGCAGCGGCGGAGGAAGCCACTTGGGCGCCTGGGGCAGCGTGCCCAGGGGCAGGGCGATCCTTCCATAGGGGCGGAGTGAGGGTGGGGCGAGCTGCCCATAGGGCAGGTGCACCTGTGGGGCCTCCGGAGTCTGCCTGCCTCCTCCCACTCAGCTGCCCTACAGCTGGGGGGGGGAAGACAGTGGGCGGACAGTTTGGGCAGCGTGGAGCCTGCACGCGCCCAAGCCACCGTGTCTCTCCCAGGAGAAACATGTGGCTCGGGTGCGCTGCAGGCTCCTGCGGTGAGTGCCGCCCATTTTGTCACCCCCATCGGTGGTGACACCCGGGCAACCCGCACCCACTGCACCTCCCTTCCTCTACTCCTGGCTCAGGGGGTCATGTTGCCAGACAGGGCCATTCCCTGTAGCAGCCCCTAGGTTGTGGAGGTTCCTCCCCACAGATGTGTGTCTGGCAAGTTCACTATACAGTTGAATGATGAACGTGCACTTCTTTATTCTGGCCTTTGACAACTAAGTTGTTTTAAACTGTTTTTAATGTATTTTAAATTGTTGTAACTCAACTTGGGATCTTAGGGTGAAGGGTGGGTAATTAATAATAACATCAGCAACAACAACAACACCTGCTAGTACTGCTAATAAATTAACTTAGACAAAGAGCATGAAATAACACTTTGTAAATTTACTATGTAAAATCTAACATTATGAAAGGGAAATTATAGATTTGATTTAATGAAGAGGATTTAGCTCAATAGATTCCAGACTGGAGAACAAAATTCTTAAAAGCACATAAAACACAATCATAAATCTTAAAACCCTTTAAAACAACAAGAGCAGCTAAAACCACCAATCAATACATTCAAACACTGAAAATGCCTGGCACAAACAGGTAGGGCTTTACTTGGTGCCAAAGTGTCAGACCAAGTGTACTTCTGAGAAGAGCGAATTCAAGAAGCAGGGCACCACTACAGAGAAGGCTGTATCACACATTGTCTACTCTCCCTAGAATGTTTTAGGTCAGCAAATAAGCTTTCTTTGAAATTTTGTTTACTCTGTTTCATAACTTCAGAAAACAGTGCCTTGTTTCTTTCATAAGTATTTAGGTTCTATGCTGGTAAAAGAGCTAAGAGGCACAGAATCAACGCAGGATGCCTGTGCAAAAATGAGGGTGAGTGAAACTTTTTTCAAAACGGCTGTAATAGGCCGGACTTTTACTTGTAACTGCCTCACTTCATCTATGTTGTACATTAAATGAAATAACTCTGGATTTCTTTGCAATATTCTTTATACTTTAGTTATACGTATGTTACATAGTTTTTCATGTTACCACTAAAACCTCCAACTGCATGCACGTTGTACATTTCCTACCTCTTGATAAGTAGATTCCCCCCCCCTTGCACCTTTTTATTTCTGTAGAGAATATAATAAGATTTAGCAGGCCAAGCATTTCCTTAACAGAAAACTTGACTAGTAAATTCCCATAGGACTGGATACTCAAGCCCCTTTTTGGTGGAACTTGGGAACTCCCTTGGGGAAAGCGTAAGCCATTTTAAATCCCTTGGAATGTGATGAGGGGGCCTGGAGAGAGAATTTCCACCTTTACTGCTGGGAGGCAGTGATTCAGATAGAAGTTGCTGAATGCTGCTTACTGGGTGGATGGTTTTTCCAGCACAAACACAGGCTGCTAACATTTGCAGGGACTCAACAACCATGCCTGTGCATGGGGCTGGCAGTGTCATTCCCACCTCCGCTGCTTCCTCCTGGCACCTAAAGGGTAAATATGGGAATTCCAATCCTGCATCAGTTGCTATGCATGGTCCACTGGCAGCTATTTGTAGCAAACTACATCGCTGGCCACCATTGGCCAAGGGAGTACTGGAGGAATATGGTGTCTTTTTGTAATGCCTGCCCATTTACAAAAATTCAAGCAGAACATTTAAAGCAGAGAGCAAAACCACTAGTCCTGTTTCACTTTCCCAAGGAGAACAACGGAAACCCCCAAAGTACTTTTCCTTTCACAAACTCAGACTCCTTTCTCTGCTCAAATTAAAAGGGGGCGGAGGGGGCTCCTTCTAGTAGTCTCCTTCTCCTTCCCTCAGACATTGATGGATGCTACGTTCCAAAAGCTAGTACCATCAGGGAATATTGGTTAATTCCTTTGGTTAATTCTCTGATAATCCTTCAAGTATTTCAGGCAAAACAGCAATAAGCCTGTTCATGCTAATCAAGACAGAAAACCCATAATAATATAGTATTAAAAACAACTGCTGAGAGCAGGGACAGGAGAGATCAGTGTGGAGTCACATTTCAGGAGTGATAATGCCCAATCATAACGTATTTTTCACTTAAGACATTGTAAGAATATCCTACAATTTTGTCACTGGCAGTTGTCCAACAAAATCTATTTAGATAAGAATAAAATCTTAACAGCTCATTGGCATCATTGTTTTCATGTGTAATTACAAATTTATGAAATGATTGAGAATATATACCATTGAAAATACAAATTATTTCATTTTATTTGTTTCTATCTGCAGCAAAGTGTAAATAAGAGGCTGATATTTAGTTTTGGGGAGATAAAGGCTGACGCTTTTGAAAGGCGTTCCAAGGATGTCAATTAAATACGTATAAACCATAACCTCAATCTTTCTCATTATACATTCTGTATGTTCTTTTCTGGTGCTCAAATATATTATTTGTATAAAGAAGAGGAAAACTGTTGGCATCTTAACTCAACACTTACGAAGCATAATTAATATCTATATTTATCCCATCTAAATGTAGAATTATACAAATAAAAAGTTTTATAATCTTTCTTTATAATTCAAAAATCTTTATAATTAGGAGCTAACTAATCATTTTAATATGTTTTCCTTCTCCTGATATTTATTGTCTGTTGGATGTTTTCTTGTTCAGTGTTTCAGTTGGTAACTGCTTTGTGTTATTTTTACTAAAAAGGGACACAGATTATATTAAACATAGATAAAATAAATATGGCCCTTTTACATAATTTTTTGAGTTTTTCAGGAAGTAACAGAATCTCTAAAACCCTTAAAATGTCAAAGGAAACTGCAGTACTTCTACACAAGTGCATACAGGTGGGATAATCAGTCAGGCTATTTTAGCATTAAAAATTGTAGTGTATCGAAGAATAAGGATGTGATCCTGAGGGGTGTTAAACTGCAGGCCTGTTAAAGCCAAACATCTCATAGTAAGCACCAGAGTAGATGAAGTAGCCTCAATTGTCCAGATAAAAATCTGTTACATTATCAAGAAACTTTGCTGCTGCTTTGTCAGAGGCAAAGCCAAGCCAGCCACTTTTGTATTACCCGCTTAAGAATGTAACAAGAGCCCTGCTGGCCCAACTCATCCATCATCCTGTTCTCACAGTGGCCAACCAGATGCCTATGGGAAGCCCAAAAGCAGGAGTTGAGTGCAACAACACTCTTCCCGCTTGTGATTCCCAGAAACTGGACAGTGGAGCTGGATCATAGCTATCATGGCTAGTAGCACCTGAATGCCTTATCCTCCATTAAATCCTCCCGGCACTTGGAAGCAATGCAATCAAACTTCTTGTGGGTTTGACCAGTATTCATGTCTCTTGTACTATGTATGTGCATGTGGTGGCTTATTCCACGCATTTTCAGAGATGGGCTATTAAAATATATAATGAGATATATCCTCTATTTCTCATTCCCTACAGTTGAGTGTAGTATATTGTCTTGGAAAAGGAAATCAGATGTACATTGTTCAATACACCACATTCTTTCATGTTTGTTTTTAATTTCAGAAGTCTACAGAACAAATGAAGAAAGTTCCTACTATTGTTTTATCAGTCTCTTATAAAGGGGTAAAATTTATTGATGCAACAAATAAGGTAGGCATCATTTGGTTACTCATACATTTTATAATATGATGTTCTTCCACATGTATGGCCACCCGTTTTCAAAGTGCACATTAGTTCTTTTGGCCTTCCTGGACAACAGTTTACTTGCACAGGATAATGGTGGGATGACTCCTAGCATAAGTTCCTGTCCTTTTCCAGCCTTGTTTTCTCCGTCCCCATCTGGAAGCAACACGGCATTTAAACTCAGGCAAACAAAACACACAGGCTGTTCCCTTGTTATTTTTAAAATATATTCGATAAATCAAGAAAATATAGGCACAGCTGAGATCCCTTAGCAGTAAAATCCTGCACACGTCTATGCAAAAGTAAGTCCCATTGGTTCCCAATGTTGTGTGTATAAGCTTGTGGCCTAAAAGTACAAAGTTAGCACTTGATGCACTAATTGTAGTAAAATGTAATATTGTTTCCCACTAGGTTGTTTGTACCCATTGAGTAAAGTACCCTTATGAAAGAGTTCTAAATGTAGTATCTCTCCCCTACATTTCTATCAGGAGCACAGGGACTGCTTTAAAGTGGCAAAGCACCCTTCCCCCTCCTGCAAATGTGGGGAAGCTGCTCTACTTCTTCTGTAAGCAGGGGGGTGGCAGCATTTCCCATCTGCATGCCACCCCCTGGCTGATTAAAGGAAAAGGAAAGGGTTTTAATGTCTGATGGGTAGAGTTTAAATTCTGCTGCCTATGCGGCATGATCTTGTTCCCAGCTGGAAACAGGGTGGCACAGCCAACATGGGAATAAACCCTATTCTCCCACCCATCCGCCAAAGTTACCAGTGACATCGGCTGATGGGTAAGTGATGGCCTGGTGAGCCAAGATTGTCCTGAAGGCTGGAAATTCCCCACCTCTGCTGTAAATACATGCCATATTCACTTAAGAGAGTTCAAATTCCAGCACATGTTTCAGTGGACCAGAGCGGAGTTTGAAATGAACATTAAAAACTATAAAGTCCACAGAACTTTATAGAGCTTCTTCTTTTAACATAAGCATTCTTTCCAGTTCTAATTTGTTCTGAAAACTAATCTTGTGCTATCAACCATCAACAGCCTATGGCAATCTTTTTTATTCTCATTCATAGGAAACCGAACCCCTGCTTTTTTTAGTATCACTGCAATCTATTCTGAAATTAAGAACAAGGAACTAAAATTAAGACGTATTATTGGTTTTACCCAAAGTAGTGTAAAATTAAATGAGTATAACTTACTGAGTCTAAAGATCTTTACATAATTATTGCTCATTAAGGCATAATCATTAATTTGATTGTGGTCCTTTATGTAGAAGTAACAGTTTTAAAAATGCTCCAACAATTTGAGATAAGAGGATTTAATAGTTTTGATTCTCTTCTAAAACACAAGCCCATAGATTCAAATAACCAGTTTTCAGTATACATTATTAAAATAGATTGCTAAATTAATATTTCAATGAGCTCTCTTGAGCATTCATAGTTGCCTGAAAATATACTTTCTCAGAGGAAATTTGTCACAGGGAAAAACAGATTAAGGATGGCACATGAGCATGGCAGATTAACCATCAATCAAATTCAGAAGATAATTTATTCTAATTCCTAAGTATGTGATTAAAGATGAAACATATATGACCAAATCCCACAGCACCAGTTCACAAACAGGGTTTTGGATTGTGGTGACAGTATTGCATCTGAAGTTCTTAGCTTAAACTAAACAAACTCATCCTGGTGGTTTTTATGTGAAATAACATTTGGAAAAGTTGAATGCAATGAAGGTATAAATATCATTTTGCTATACCAAGTGTTAATGTATCTGGACAGTACCCTTCATTTTGCTTGGCTCATTTAACTTCTTCACATCCCTGTTTCACTGAGCAGTGAGCCTTTGCTGGGTTCTGGTTGCCCTTCTGATTGCAGAGGAACAAGTCTGGATCCAAACCATTACAATGTTCTTGTTCTCTGCGTGGTTAGAGGTAGAATAACGACCACAATCTATTCTCAGAATCACTAGTAATAATAATAATAATAATAATAATAATAATAATAATAATAATAATAATAATTTTTTATTTATACCCCGCCCTCCCCAGCCAAAGCCCTACTGGCCACGTGACAGCAGGACACAGTGGTGGTCATGCTTTTACTCTCCTCCTCTTTTTGAAGATTGGCATATGCATTTTTCCTCCCACTAGAAACAATTGGGAAGAAATATATTTATGCCAATTCTGTTTTGGGGAGGGAGGGGTGTTGGGAGAATGGGAAGGTTATGTAGTCTTCAGATCTATGTCGTCTTCCTATCTGCCCGATACACACATTTTTTTTTACCTCTGCTGACAAAGGAAAGGCTGCCTAAGTGTATTATTTATTGAGCTGTTATTAATGAGGCTTACTTGGGGGAAACCAGGCTGCTATGGTTGCTATGGAACGTTACCCCCATCTCCCACTGCCCCAGATGTTCATACTCTCACTTTGCAGCTGAATGATTGAAGGGCTTTATGATGTTAATCAAATCCACTGAGTTGCCATTTCTTTTTCTTTCTTTTAGAATATTATTGCTGAACACGAGATTCGTAACATTTCTTGTGCTGCACAAGACCCTGAAGACCTCTCTACATTTGCTTATATCACAAAAGACTTGAAGACAAATCACCATTACTGCCATGTGTTCACAGCCTTTGATGTGGTTGGTCTATAAATATATTTCTACTTGGTCACATTTTAAAATCAAAAATATTTATAAATGCAATTTTGCTGAGACAGATGCAAATACTTTAAGCAGAGGGGGGCGAACCAAGCCTTATGAGGAGCAATTGAGGGAGTTGGGTATGCTTAGCCTGGAAAAGAGGATTCTTGCAGCATTACAGCGGGGGTGGACTCTTCCAAATCTACAATTCTGTGAATCAATAAGTTCCATTGAATTTAAAAACCTTACCTCTAAGTAGGGATGCCGAGGATCACAGAAATAGAAGTATAACTAGCCAGATCATCAAATTCTCGGTTGCAGTTTATCTATGATGAAGATAGTTCAGGACCAACCCTGGTACAATATAAATTTTTTGCTCAGCTCTTCTGAAATAGGTGAACTCCACTTCAGGTGGGACTTTTTTTTTCTTTTTTTGAGATATTCACTTTTAAAAAGTGTGGCAATACTTTTATTTACAAATTTTGTATGCTGCTTCATATCATTATCCTGTAGTAGCTTATTTCTAATTCAATAATAGAAAGCCATGATTAGCTGGAGCTTCCCAGGGGATATAGGCAGGATGAATGATTATTGCCTATGACTACTGCTTCGCACACATACATGTGTCACACCTTTTCCTACTCATAAAGCAGTGCTTCTTAGACATCAGACTAGGGCCCACAAGTGAGTTTGGGGCCACTTTCAGATGGACATCACTAGCACAGCCTGCCCAATGCAAACTTGCTTGCCCTCTTCATTGGACCAATGCAGCACCAGCCACTCCGTGAATACTGCTTGAATAAATGAGCAAGAGCCAGAAAAATGAGGGTGGGGAGAAAGGTCGCTCTTCCTCTTCTGATGTAAAAGGGCCAGTGAAGGTGTTGAAGAAAATTAGAGACAGGTAACAGGTTAACATTTATTATCATTAATCAGCTGGTAATAGGAAGGGGTAAAAAAAGAAAACTATTATATGAGCAAAAATGAATGTGCAAGGACCAGGAAAGAGGGATGAAAGAAACTGGCAGGCTTTTTTGGTTGGGTGGAAATAAGGTACAAGTTGAGGGCAAAAAGAGAATGGCAGAAGAAATTACAGGAAATGGCTATAAAGACTTTGAGAGGCACGTAATGATGGGATAGGATAGATATACAAGTAAAACTCCTCTTTACAAAGATGAGTAACAATAACTCCAGAGCAGACCTGAGGAAAGCTTAGCTTTGAAACACCTTGTCATCAGGAGAACACTGTGGGAACGAATTTAGCAATTTGGAAAGATGGATTAGATATCCGCTGATTATGCCAAACTGCTTTCATCTCGCACTATTTTGGAACTGGCTGTTCCCTTGTACCACTTTTTAGTGGGGGTTGGTCTTGGTGTTTTTCAGCTCTCTTAAGTAGACAGAAAGGTTGAGAACCCCCAAGTTAAAGCAATCTTGAATAGTTTGTTATACCTTCAGGAATCTATGTTAAGTGATAGCACAATTTTGTTTTTTGGCTAGGAAAAGATACCTGGATTTAAATAAGGCAATATGATTTTATAGTAATACTCTTATACATTTCAATGCTCTAATAGGCTCTGAAAACAATGACAGAAACTCTTTATAAGGAATGAAAATTTGATTTTTGAAAAATAAATTTATGTACAGCTGGTAAATGATAAAGCAGGGGTGGGGAATCTTTGGCCCAGCAGATGTTGTGGGATGCCAACTGCCATCAGCTTCAGATAGCTCTGCCAATTGTTAGGGATGATGGAGTCGGAATCCAACAACATCTGGAAGATAAGTGTTCAAGGTAACCTCTTGTCTATTTTTAATTTTAACAAAATAGTAATAGATAGGTATGCTGGAAGCTTCTGTTTTATTAATTTAAATTTGTGCCATGAAACTTTAAAATATTATATCTTCACATAACTGTAGTGCTTTTAGCTTTCATACTTAGAAAAATAATAATGTGTGCATTATAAAGCATTAGAGTTCTCTTGTTGAGTTATGGCTGGTAAGTAGGAATGAATGTATGCAGATAGTTACCGTATTTTTTGCACCATAACACTCACTTTTTTCCTCCTAGAAAGTAAGGGGAAATGTCTGTGCGTGTTATGGAGGAATGCCTACGGGTGGCATGCCTACGGATTTTCCTCCTCTAAAAACTACGTGCGTGTTATGGTCGGGTGCGTGTTATAGAGCGAAAAATACGGTAAATTGTATGGAGAGTGGCTGTGAATTGGTTCCCCCACCCTCCAAAATACATTTTCTAATACAAATTGAGTAGAAGAGAAAAAATTTCATAGGGCTTCTGTTATTAACGATCATCTGAACTGAAAATTAATGAATGTTTTGTCTGTGTTCTGAGGATACAAAAGGTACAGAAAATTAACCAAAGAAGCATCTATATAGCAGAACAGCTCCTTGCTATGGTCTTTTTACAGATGTGCTGAGAATGCTTGCTTTAATGCCTCAAGCCCGTATATTCTTGGTCACAGGTCCACAATTTTCTTCCCCTTAAGAGTGAGGTGTTGTTCAAAAATGGGGCAAAGAGGCAGAAAAGGGCACGACAGGAGTAGAGAATCAATGGATGGGTATGAAGAAAGCAGCAATAAAGACGGGAAGGCACTCAGAACAATATTTTGTGTAACACCATAACCACATCCATTACATTAACATATGATTTTTAATTCTATGTTTATTGATTCTCTTATTTCTTATTGTAGTAAAATTTGAATTCTATATAATTTTTAAAAAAAATACTTTAGGATCTAGCACACTGAATTACAATTGCTAAGCAGGCAGAAAAATCCATTAGGTGGTCTACCAAGACCTTTGGCTATTTTTCAAGTGGTCCAGGAGAAAGTTTGGGAATCACAGTTCTGCAGTATTCCAGAGTGTGAAAATTAAGCTCTGCCTGATATGTGACGATGTTATAATTTAGATTTCTAAAAGAAATGTGTTTAATCTAACCTGTTTTCATGCTGCTGTTTGTTGCTGTTCCAGAATTTAGCCTATGAAATAATTCTCACATTGGGACAGGCATTTGAAGTAGCCTACCAACTAGCACTTCAAGCTCGAAAAGGAGGTCATTCTTCAACCCTTCCTGAAAGCTTCGATAATAAACCTACAAAACCAATTCCAAAACCTCGTGTTAGCATTCGAAAATCTGTGGTGAGTAAAATATGTCCAACCCATGAAAGAAGCCTGCTGGTGCTGGTGCTTAGGCTGAACTCATTTCCCCATTTCTGCAATGAAAGGTTCAGCAGATTGGGTCTTGGCTCTCTGCCCACAGGGTGAAGGCAGGCAGCAATCTTTGGGGACATAGGGCTCCCAGGATTCTCCACTAACACTCCTCTACTAGAAATATGCAGAGCTGCCACCTGGGCACCACCCAGCACCTTTACAGGACACTATTGCATAGATGCCTTCACTTCAATGGAAGCCACCCTCACTTGGAAGGTCCTCCTCCTGAACACTGCAGCCTCTTTCCCACCTGAGATTGGGACATAGTAAAGCTATCCCAAACTGCTGACCTTTCATTGCAGAAATTGGAAAAAAGTACTTGAATCATACTTTTCCATTGCCAATGAAAGGTCAGCTGGGCCCACCCTTAAGACCGGCTGCAGTACATCTGCTCTTCACTTCACTTTTTCTTTATTCTATATATGTCTGGGATGTAGGATTGGGTTTTTCTTTCTATAAGTCCTGATCTGTCTTGAGCTTGGTGAGTTCACAAACTGAATCCTGGGAGCCCTACGCCCTAAATGTTGCTGCCTGCCTCCGACCTGTGGGCAGAGAGCCAAGACCCAATCTGCTGACCTTTCATTGGGAATGGAAAACTACAATTCAGGTAGGTACAATCATACTTTCTCTTTATAATCAGCATGCTAGGGGCATGAGCAGTATTCCATTCGCTCATCTTTCTAAAGGCAGCTGTAGAAATTCAGTATCGTTACTAGCTCTTGGGCACACAAAATTCATTATGTAAAACAGTACTGGAGGGATTCCTAGGCATGCTAAGGAAGCCACCTGTAATTAAACATCAATTTCACTTATGTATCTGTGGTTCAGTTTTTCCTCTGTGGCCCATTCTCTGCTTAATAGCAACACTAATACTGTAGATCAAACATAGCTTCTTGTGATCTTCTTTAGTTTATATTTACATTATAAAGGCAATACTTTTCTAGAAGCTCTTACCAGCAGTTCTCAGCTTCAACTACCAGACCAGAACATAATCAGGTAGTTGTCCAGAGACAGACAGCTTTTTAAAGAAAATGTAAATATGTATTGGACAGAAAAGGCAAAAGCTAATAAATCCATCAATTCTTAACACTGTTAAACAACTTAGGTAGGTTAGTATACAATTTCTATGTGCACCTCTAGCCAAATGAAGAATTACATAAACAAATGAGTGCTGTGTACTCAAGTTTCTCCTCCAAGTTGTCCAGGATGTGCATGGTTAGCGGTTAGGAAAATCAGTGACAATGTAGATTAGCTGGGTAGGACTAAACCCAGCCAAACAGCCAATTGGTGTGTTTGCTGATTGTTTTACAAGCTGCACACACACATACTTGGAGCAGCGTTATTAGCAAGAGAGAGAGAGAAAAGCAATTTTGGCAACCTGATCTTCAAGGCAAGTTGTTGAGCATGAGTTCCTTGTGTTACTGAGAACAAAACAGCATACATATACAGTTGATAAAATTATAGTTATATACCTATAACTTCAGATTTTATGTAGATACATCTCTTGTTGCACTGGACTCATTCTGTGAGAGCAGTGAAACTAATGAATCAATATCCTCTTGGATTATCATGATAAAATAGAATATAGACTGTAGCCTCAGGAAAGCAATCCATGGTGCATGCCGTGTGGATAATGATGTGCTACTGTGTGACCCAGTTTGAGCACTGTTTTAATGCTCAGCAATTAGAGTAGATAAAGCATCATTGTGTTTCTTTTGTATTTGTTTCAAAGCAGATAGATCCCACTGAACAAAAGACTCTTGCCAACCTACCATGGATTGTAGAACCAGGACAAGAAGCTAAAAGAGGAATTAATACCAAGTATGAAACCACAATTTTCTGATAGTGAACTGTCCTCTTGTTTCTTGTTGTGCCTTGCACTCAAAGCAGTCATAGCACAGCCTTTCCTTGACGGCAACTCTTCAGTCTAGTAGAGGGGAAGACTGCACTATATGAGTGGCCTTGAAACTAGCAAAAACATACAAACAAAAACAAAAGGCTGCTGGTCATTTCTGGTGATTGTTCTTCCTGCAGCACTGATAGAAGAATGACATGGGATGAAGACTTTTCAATTACAGCCCACAAGAGGAGTGGGAGATTGTTTCACGCACGCTCTTCTCTTAGGACTTTGCCACAGTGCTTTCTTTTGATTTCGTATTTTAACGTTCTACTTTTACAAAGGTCTCTAACGGTAATGCTGCTTAGTAATACAACGTTCAGTTGTGGTTGGGTTTTTATTTTCACACATGGCAGTTTTTAAATTGAAACAAACCCAGATTAGTTAATAAAATATTTGAGATATGTTTGTGAAAACATGGGGATCTATATAAGTTAATTCTACTGTTTAATATGCTTTTCAAAATTAGTAATGGCAAGACATTAGCTTCCTTGACTTCTGTATTTGCTGGTCTATGTATTCTTCATGCCATTTAATCCTCTAGAGAAATGAGGTTATATATGTCAGTGTGAAACAGAATCAGAGTTTTATTAATGGCTTAAAAAAAGAGGAATTAATAATGCATGAAAATGCACCTTGTATTAAATATTTTTGTGGGAGAGAAGAAAACTATAAGAGCAAGTATGATATTTATGATAAAGGAGGTCATTAATTATGAAGAGAGTCTGGCTTTATTTTAAAGTTAAATAAACTGCTACTGTACTATCTAACAGTAGTAACAGTGGGGCCATCAGTATGCTGGATGCTTCACTTCATGGGGTAAAACGGAAGCTGCCCAGCAATTGCACTACAGGCACATGCAACTATACACAGTTTTTCAAGTTATTATAGCCATGAGTTTCGGTTTTTAAAAATCTGAAAGATGGTTTTAAACAAAACTAGGAATTTTATCAAATTTTCTGTCTCAGAAAGCTGGTTTTAATGAAAAAGTTCAACTCAAAAGGTTTTTTCCTAAATGAAGTAAACCATTCCAAAGTAATAATTCTTTCCACAAATCAGTTGAGCATTAGCTTGACAGTTGACTTAATGAAATTTGCTTACCATTTTCTTTGAAGTATTTTAATTTTTTAATGTCTTTGTGGAGTATTTGTATAATAACATTATGTATTTCAGTGAAACTGAATGAATTATAACAGTAAAAATATCAATCATAGGCAAAAAATGACATTTTAATGTATGTTCTATCCAGTCAAATTGTGAATCATTTTGAACTTCATTATAGAAATATTGATGAATAGTGTGGTTGACTTAAATGTTTTTTATTATTCTTTCATATTTAACTGAAAGGTTTCAGTTACATTCAACAACTGAATTTTTAACAAAATTGATAATTGAACTTGATTTAAAATTCAAAATTGTATATGGTTTAGTTGAACCTAATCATAGCGCTGAATGACAAAAAACCTTTTAATACAGTATTCAATTTACTTGAACCAATCAGCTCCTTGTACATATTATGCCTATTCATTGTTGATATGTATGTAGTAGGCTGACAGTAAACACTGAAAAATATAGTACCAAAAGGAATATTGTATAGGAGAAAAGTAAATAGTAGCCTCACTGCAACAAATACTTCTATGTAAATATGCTTGGGCTTCCAGTTATAAATTTTGTAATTTTTGTCATTATTTATATCCTATAAAAGCACACAAAATAAATTGAAGTTGTACAGTCAGCATTAGTTTCTGGAAAATTTAGTATTGATAATATTGAACATTAAGCTGTTGTTAAGTGATGGATCAGTCTTAAGTGTCAAAGAGACAATGGTATGATCCTGTGAACCACTTCACTTACTCAACAGCTTTCAATATCTCACAAGAAACTAGTGTGGCAAAAAGGGAACTCCTCCATGCTTCAGGCCAATGCTAGAACTTGGTGGATGTGTGGTGTCTCTGTGCTATAGAACACAAACTTCAAATCTAACCTAATTGTCAACTTATCCCTAATAGCCCCTTCAGCCTCCCCAGCAAGATCTTGACCTTGCCTCACATCAGCATTCCTGACATCCTCCATATAATGTTATGACACTATTACTCTTCTTCTGGGGGTATGCTTAGCTCTCACACTAGTTTTTCCTTTCTGACCTTTTTGTTATCTCTTAGCTAATACTTCTATATAGAACTCAGCCACCAAAATAATTTGCTCTCATGTCACTCAGAATATGCAGTACCTTCAGTCCCTACACTGGCTGCAACACAAATTTCTTGTTCTTGCCTTTGAAGTTCTCAGTATACTTTCCCCACCTTCTTTCTCTTCCCTCACCTCCTAATATAGCTCTGCCTATGACATTTCCTTCAGTTCATCCACCCTAAGCTATCTAAAGAATATCTAATACTCTGCCATATCTCTCTACTGGGAGTACCTCTCATGCCACCTGTAAGATACTTGGGTCTCATTCTTCAAACAGCCCCTTCAAACCCCACCTTCAAAGTTGACTCTGAAAATATTGAAAGTAAGAAAACCGAACACTACCTCAACATGGTCTTCAGGTACGTGGCAGCAGAGTCCTCTAAAAGAAATGGTAGCAATGGTGGGGGGACGAGAACCAAGTCTCCAAGAGAACAAGCTTGTGATCCAAATGGTAGCTGCCAAAAACTCTCTCTCTGCCCTTGCTGCTATAGTTGACTTAGGGAAACAAAAGCAAAAGTCATGAAGGAAGGCAAAAAACATTTTCTGAGTCCAGTGACACAAATGAGGCACCAGAGCTGAAAATATCACAAAATATAATACTTCACTTCTCCTTCCTTGAAACCATAAAGCTTATTTGCACATATTTACACACAAGAAATTGTACAAGAAATGGGTGAAAATTTGAAATTTGGATTTGTTCATTTCTTCATTCAGGTATCTTTTGGGAACAAATAAAAGAAATGCTTTTTAAAAAGAGGAATAATTGGTGAAGCTGGCACAAGAGGACCTGAAACAGATGCATCTAATTCACCCATAATATGGCTTATGCCCCCAAAAGTGCTTTTGTTCTCAAGAGTAGCAGTCAATGGTGTATTTTTTCTTCAAAAAATTAATTTCAATTTAGAAAGTTTGCAATGAACTCACCCCACATTCTGGCAGAGGAAAGGCATTATATATTGAGCTTTTAGTTCAGGCTTCCTCAAACTCGGCCTTCCAGATGTTTTTGGCATACAACTCCCATGATCCCTAGCTAGCAGGACCAGTGGTAAGGGATGATGGGAATTGTAGTCTTAAAACATCTGAAGAGCCGAGTTTGAGGAAGCCTGTTTTAGTTAGATCTGAGGGCTTCAAACCCTACAACAAGCATTCACTTGAAAGGGCTAAAAATTACTGGCTATCCACCAGATACAAAATGGCAGTGCAGAGCTTAGAATCTGTCACAAAGTGATGGCAAATGAAGGCCAAGTGAACATAATCAGCTGGCAGTTAGGGATACTTTCTACAAAGAAAATCCCTTTTATATTCGTCTCCCTGCTATAGGGCCACATACATCTCAGAGTACTTTTTATTCACTTCCTTTCATTTCTAAAATAAACTGAAAAGCATATCATAAATTCTCTCATCCATCCCCCGGGCTGCTGTTACATTCACTTCTTCCTCGATTAAAACAAATTTCGGCCAAAAAACAAGAACCGATTATCTCTTTTTATATTCCTTCAGTGCACCCTTTGGTGCTTTTCCCTCAGAGAAGAGAGGATTTATTTCCTTCCCCTACCCCCCAAAGTCTCCAATTCTCAGTCACATTCACATACTTCCACCTTTGTTTCTTTAGCCCTACATGGGCAGAAGCACACACCTCAGATAGTTCTGAGGTGGAGACACCAGCCACCATCTCAGATTTTGGGCAGGAGAGACTTCCTGACTTGGAAGGAGGACTGAAGTAAGGGGTAAGAGTTTGAGCATGTGTGGTGCTGGGGAGATGTGGAGGCACCACAGCAACTCTGGCTGCTGCTTCTTTTTCTCTTCCCTCTGCTCCCCACCCCTTTTTTGCCCCTCTCCCTCCCCCAGTTGGTTTGCCCATCTGCCTGCTGTCAGTTCTCTCTCCTCCAGCCTTGCATGCTATAGCCTCACTTTCATAACTCACATTCTCACATATGCCTATGCACTGAGCTTGCAGGGAGCTGATGCTGGGGCAGTTGGGAGCATGGTGAGCGAGGAAGGAGGCACTGGGGTGGCTGCACGTTTGAGGCCCACTGGCTATCCCTGGCCCACAGTTTGAGAAACCCTCTTTGAGGCAGTTCTCATAGAAAAAGAAAAGCACACAAAAAACCAGTTAAGCTCATGGAAGGCATAGCTATTGTATATCATTACTTGCCAATCAATAAATTCCCAAGACAAATGACAGTCTCCACATCAGGTTGTGAAGAAGTTAATTCCCCCATCAACAATCCCATTCTTTTTGATTTCCACAATCCAATCAGTTTGACAGCAGCCACTTCCCAACAGCAATTTAAGGTACTGCAATACTCAGTAATATTTACATTGTTATGTCAAAGGTGTGAAAACAGCATTGCTTCTAGTGGCCAGTTTGCAAGCATGACATGCCTAAAATGTGCAATGCTACAGAAACAGTTTTGCTTAATGAATGAAAGAGAAAACACTCCAGCTCATATCGAAGAGTTTTAAATTTAAGATATTTGATATCCTAACGAACAGAAAACCCAAAGAAGTGTTATGTCTGTGTATAGCACATCCAAATCACAATGCTTTTCAAAATCTCAAGGGCTCTACTATAATGGAAATTAAAAATAATTGAGACTTACCTGAACATGCATGGTAGTTTTTCATTTAGCAAAGCTGGGAACACCATCTAAAAATAATATGGGTTTTCTAAATTAAGAACTGCTGTATTTCTCTTTACTTCTGCTCTCAGCCTACCTGGGAACTGTGTTTTTCATTTAAGGTTGGGTACAATTCTGGGTTACAAGCTAAACTCAGAATGTGGAGCAGTCATTGTTTTTTAATTCTGAAATCCTAAGTGTGTCATCTGATAATTGTAGCTATTACAGTGGTACCTCAGGTTAAGTACTTAATTTGTTCCGGAGGTCTGTTCTTAATCTGAAACTGTTCTTAACCTGAAGCACCGCTTTAGCTAATGGGACCTCCTGCTCCTGCCGCGCCGCTGGAGCATGATTTCTGTTCTCATCCTGAAGCAACGTTCTTAACCTGAAGCACTATTTCTGGATCAGCAGAGTCTGTAACCTGAGGTGTATGTAACCTGAAGCGTATGTAACCTGAGGTACCACTGTATATCCAGTCTCTCTCCCTCTCCCTTTTTACTTTTTAAATGAAACTTACACAGGGGCTTATGTTCTAGGGATAAAGTCAAAATCACGTATAGTCAAAACCCATTGATTACATGGCAGGTGGCATTGCCGAAGTATTTTTTACTGCCGTGGCTCTATGTATACAATTTCCACACTGCATACTCTTTACTAGAGTTGGATATGCCATTTGGAAAAAAAGCCACTGAAAGCCTTCTCCTCCATAGATTTGTCAAATCCTCCTTCAGTCATCTCAACTGGTGGCCATCACTGCTTCCTGTGGGTGTGAGTTCCATAGTTTAACTATGTGTACTTTATTTATCTGCAATACCCCACCCTGATTTTATGAGGAAAGAGATGAAACTATAGTTACTTACCCGGACTGCCTTGCCATGGTGGCCTTTTAATTATGGAGACACAAATACCAAAGAGGCTGTGAGGAAGAAACTGTTAAACAATGCCCCTGCCCAGCCCAAGCAAGCCATTCACAGTAGCACAGCAGAGGGGTTTGTGCTGTCCCATGATGATATCAGAAAGCAGCCACTAGATGCCATAACACTGTTTCACTACTTTGCCCACACTGGAGGCTGAGCTTGTCACTAAGCAACAGAGAAAGGGAATTCAGATATAATTAGAAGATCAAGCTTTCAAAGCAACAAATTTCTCCACCAGACAACTTCCCTTATGCTCACAAGGACATAACTTACCATTTTTAATACAGTGAGACACAATGACACTTTGAACTGAGCCAACTGTGAGTCATGGTTTTGTCCTCTACAGATGAATCATGAAAAACACTCCTTCACCTGCAATTCTGCCTTTCTTTGGTTTGTATTATCCTAGATCACCTTTGCATCCAAACTGACAAACTCTGGTTTGAACTTGCACAGCAGACCAGGACTGCAAACCAGATTGGATACTGGTTTGAATTGCAAGCACAAGTAAAAGTTTACCAGTTTGTATGTAAGGGCACACTAGGAATACAAAAACCAGGGATGGATAGAGGGGATTACAACATACAAATGAAGTGAACATTTTATACTGATTTACAGAGTTTCACAAATAATCTTCCTACAGCTGAATCCACTTGCAAAGCTACTGAGCTTTGGCACAGAGAAAACATCATCTTTCCACAAAAGACAAGATCTAGATGCTTGTATTATTCTTCCAACACAATCTATGACTCTTTACTTGGAAGTAAGTCTTGCTAAGTTCTAATGGGACTTACTTCTATGCACCCTTTGTATTCTATATGAGAAAAGAAAATTCTCATATGGAGAAGACTTTGAATTTTGGAGAAAAGGAAGAAAATGTATGGACTAAGATAGAAAAAATACACCACATGCTGCAATATATTAAAATATTTATTGCTTTCAAATGCACAAACTTGTTTAATTAAAACCCAGCAACTTTGCTAATGCAAAGTTTTAGAAACATTAAA